AAAAAAAAAAAAAAAAAAAAAAAAAAAAAGACAGAAAAAAAAAAAAAAAAAGAAAAAAAAAAAAAAAAAAAGAACAAGAAGAAAACAAAAAGAAAAAAAAAAGAAAAAAAAAACCTCAGAAAAAAGAAAAAAAAAAAAAAAAAGTGGTCCTGCTCCACCTTCAGGAACTCGGCGTGCTGCGCATCGCGCATCTGGGTGGCCGCGGCCTTCTCGTCCTCGAGGGCGGCGATGTTTGCCTCGTCCTCCGCGATCTTCTTGGCTAGCACCGCGATCTTGTTCTCCGCGGCCTCGATGAACGCAATCAACTTCTCGATGGTGGCCTCGCCCGTCTCGATCTCGAAATTCAGCTCCTTCTGCTTGTCGTCGACCCACTCCTGGTACTCGGCGAAGATCTTCTGCTCGTCGGCCATCATCTTTTCGCCCTTGGTCTTCATTTCGCTGAGCATGTTCAATACCTGGGGAGATGGAACGTACGGCAAGTTCGCGTCGTGCCGTCGGCGTCGGCTTCTGACGCCGCGAGGATCGCTCAAACATGAGCAGCCGCAGATTCCCGATAGCGCAGACAGTGAGGACATTGAATAAGAAATCATTGGATAAGGAGTCCAGGGTCTGGAAGCTGCGGGAATTCCAATCGTTGATTGGACAGGGATATGACCGCCCCCTCATCAGATAAGGGATTTTTCGGGTCTGAAGCCTGCTGGGCACAGTCCTTACACAACGCCCCCACCGTATCGTCCCACATCGGCCGTCTCTTGGCAACTGGTAGCGTACAAACCTGAACGCCCGCGCGGAGCGAGCCCACCACACTCCATCCCCATTCCCAGACATCGGAAGGATTATTTGTTTCAACCCGCGGGCCCAAATGGTCTCGACGGGACCGTTCCCAAGGAAAATCTATCGTGCTGGATCCTTTCGTGCTTGTCCCAGGGCCCGACAACGCCCCCCCCCCCCCCCGGACGCCAAAACGGATGAAACGCAAATACGCCGAGGCCGAACCCTAAGAGAAACCACTGAGATCACCAGGCCTCCACGGGCCCCATTCGGGCCCAAGACCTGGTGCCCCCAACCAGCCCCCAGACAGGCCCACAGGCCGTATGCACGCCAAGATCTGGCCCGAAATCTGCCTGTGGCTACTCTGGGCCAGAGTCTGGGAAAAGCCGGCCGCCTTCAGCAGGAACTCTTTCCTCCATTGACTCCTCCCCAGACATCCAGCGCTTCGACTTTTTGATGCGAGGGCCCCTGGACCTCTCGACCCCTTCCCCTTGGCCAGTGTCACATCCCGAACCGTTTTCGTTGTCGGGGCCGAGGACCAGAGGTGAAAAATGACAACACATCTGCTGTCTAGATTTTGTAGAGCTGCGGAGTATGTGGGTTCTTCATGCCGACCAAAGACCTCCTGCACAGGCGTCACGGCAGAGGCGCTGGCGACGGCGAGCGTACAGGCGAGGATGATGGACTTCATTCCCTGCATTCCTCTCGCGGGCCAGCGGGAGTGCGAGCGGGAGCCGCCAACAGCGGTCTGCATCAACTGTCTGGGAGCCGGTCGGCTTCAGCCAGACAGCATCGGCAATCCGCATATAGCAAACTCCTGCCTTGGCAACGTAGGCCGTGGTCTCTGACACCGCGTGAACCGTTTAGTTTCGGAACTTCCCAGATTCTGTGAACCCCATCTTCCGAATGAATTCTGCAAATTGGGTCTTTCTGTGGTCCCTGCGGCTTGGAGCTCTCCAGGTGTTCAAAATTGTACGACCGCGCCAGCGCGGCCGCCGCATCGAGGCTGTGCGACACTTGCCGCAGCCGACACTGGTCGTGCCGGCCACTCCCGACCGGTTCGAAGAGCCGCGACGAGCAGGCCACAATTGGGGAAAAAAAGCCGGTCAGCATCGGTCTTACGCATGAGGAGACGGCAGCCTGACGCGATGGCTTACGCAACCCGCCAGCGCGGCACGCCCCGTGGAGCAGAGAGGGTGCTTACGCGCGGCCTTCTGCGGTCAGCTTGCACGCGAGTGTCCTCGCAGTCGACCTCTGTGTTAAGTCGCCCCACTTGAGGGCATACGAGGCAGAGTCTTCATGGAATGCCACTTGCCACGGTCATGCGGGGCCACGCCAGAGTGGAGCCCTCATGGGAGGCTGCGAACCAGAACGGACTCAACACCCTGTGAGTCGAGCCCGTTTGGGGATGCCCGAAGCCCATTGACGGCGAGCTGGAGTCAATGCTAACACTCTCCGATCCCCACCCTGTGAGGATGCCCAGAACTCTTTGCTGGCGAGGAATGTGTCGCAGCATCCTCTGAGTCCCATCCCAGGAGAAGCACAGAACATTCTGATAGCGAGCCAGAAAGGGCCCAACACCATCTATGCCCTCCACTGGAGGCCCTGAACCCCTTCATTTTGCAACGAGTCAGGATTTGTCACAGCACCAGCATTCTGGACACCCCTCGACAGCGCCCGGAAGCCGATCGACCCTTGGAGGTCAGTGCAAGTCCCCAGGGGCCTGGAAGGCCCCAAGCGACGATTGGAAACTCTCGGAAGAACATGGACGCATCCAAATGCCCATAGAGGGCCCCTGGACTTGCGAGGGCTGATTGCATGATGAAATTACAAGTTGGCCCAGAACGCAACTTCATTATCTTCGATGGCCCGCAGTGTGCGGCCGTAACCGTCCCAGGGTCCCAAGGCGCAAATGTCTAAGGGTTGCGCTCTACGGCTACAAGTAGTGCCAGAAAGACAGCTTTGCAGCACCGGCTGGGCGCAAACGTGCAAAGATCGCAATGTGCAGTCGTCAGCCGTCCCAAGGCGTCAGTTCTGGAGCTCAGATCGCGTTCAAGCGTGTGGGGCTGGCACCCTGAGACGAACCCATACTGTCAAAACGCAGAAACAAAAACAAGAGCTTCTGCCACACTCAAGCTCTTGAGGTTTGCTCTGTGAGGGTCATACGCCGTCACAGAATGCAGACTTTGGAGCGACGAAGGCACGAAAGCGTGCAAGGGTTACACTTCAGAAATATAACTCCCCCCGTACAGGGGTCGAGACACTAGCATGAACCTGAGACAGTGGCAATCGGATGACGCGGACGTGGACACTGGAAAAGACCTCACAGAAACGTCTGTACTCTCGCACCGTGCTCTTCCAGACGCCTGCTGGCACAACAACTACCTCTGACGGGCTTATGTTTATGTGTGCTTCGATTTCGTTTTGGTGAATGAGGGTTAAGGGTTGCACACAGAAAGGTCATCCCCAACACACACACACACACTCACACACAAACGCACATGCTTGTGATGCCTGCGTGGCACGTGAAGATGGCACGCTGGGGATATGAATCACGCCAAAGCGCAAATTCTGGAGCTTCGATGCTTGCTTCTCGCATGAAGGTTGTTCTCAAGCAAAATGAGTCGCCACCTAAACTGAGTCACTGCCCATACGGCGAGTGAGGGCTGCGGCTTGGCAACTTGTGGAGCCCCAAGCTGATATTCCTGAAAATGTGATGCGCCTCTGCCATACGAGAATTGTACTTTGAGAGTGGGGGGGGGGATAAGTTTCCTCGCGTAATGCCATTCCAAGACAAAAGCCTGTGCTTAAGGACTGCGGTATCGGAAACGCCCCCTCGATGTACCATGGTCCCTGTGATGGTAATTCATCTGAAGCAATCTGCCAGAGCCCATCCAAGACAGACCGTAAACGAGACACTCTGTAGGCAAGGACACGCGCCGCCTGGAGTGCAGCCCAGCTAGCGGGGCGTGATTTTCAGCTCGGCTGGCCGACCTGTGCGCCGAGCACTGTGCACTTGGGTCGCCGCCTCCGACGCTCGGCCCCCCGTCGCAAGATCGGGCCGACGGGTTCCTACCTGCGTTCTCAAGACGCTGCTCGTGAACGGCGCAATCCTCTACCCGCCCAGCACGTTCGCCGCCAGCACGTCGAGTTTTTGGACGCCCGAAATGGGTACTGAAAGAATGGGCACTATGCCCAACAACAAATGTTGTCCCAAGCCAACAGCGGCCGCTGTTGGGCAGGCGACCTTCTGTCTCGAATGGACACAGGCTGCGGCGGCGCGGACAGCGAATCCTGTTCAAAATGAACAGGAATTGTTGTTGGGCATTTTACCCATTCTTTCGGTACCCATTTCGGGCGTCCAGAGAGTTCCTGGGGGAAGCGCGCTGCTGCACATTCGGCGGGAGCGTGTTCACAAAAGGCCTCCGTGACCGGAGGCTCCCTGGGAACGCCCGCTGGCGGTCGCTCCGAGCACTTCGAGCAGCGCTGGCGGCCAGCGGCGCACGTAGGATCGTGCTGGCCGAGGGGGCGGAGGCGCGTTGCCGGCCAGGCGCGGCGCCGCACCTCACCTGTCCAGCTTCTCTCTCAACGGCTCGCCGCGTTGAGCCGCCTCGTTCGCCTTGTTGACCTACTCCTCTCACTGCGCCCTCCACCGGCTGCCCCGCTGCCGGGACGACTCTCCCGACGGCGTTGCTGCCCCTGCAGCCTTGGCTGCCGCGCACTGTGCGGCGCCTGCTGGAGCGCCGCGGGGGCCCGCTGTGCCAGATGACTCAGAGAGGGCCTCTGGCCGTGACGCCGCGACAATGGCCCCCACGAGCGTGTCGCCGAAACCGTGGCCGAGGTCTCGCTTCTCAGTCCGCAGACCAGGCGGGTACCTGCTCAGGGGTCCGTCCTCGTCGTCGGCGTTTAGTCCGCCACCGTGCCGCTAGGCACGAAGCGGAGTGTCCTCGGGTGTGTTGTGTTATCTGTGTTGAATTTTGGATTTGCTCTTCGTGGGGTGGGATTTCCTGGGCGCCTCCAGACGGTCTTGGGCACTCGAAGGGTTCGTCACGTGACTTTCCCAGAGGCCTCGGGAGAGTGGTTAGCATTAAACACTTTCAACATGGCCCCGGATAGCCACAGTGCCCGTCCTGGACTGGAGACCTCTTGGACGCCTTTTGGGCCGTCTTCGACAGCAAGGCAGACTCGCTGAACACCTTACGTTATCATATGCTTAGATCTTTTCGGTCTTACGAGCACCTCCGACGACCCAAGAAGACACACCGAACATTGCTCCAAGACGGCCGTCGAGGCTCCAACGACGGCCCCACAAGGGGCCCGATTGGGGGAACACTTTCGGCCCCTTCCACCTCAAGATCAGGCCTACACGAGGCCCCCCAAAGGCCCCCAAGAGGCCTCAAGAGGCCTCTAAGAGGCCCCCAGAGACCTCCGAGAGACTTCCAGGAAGCCCGCTGAAGGCCCCCCAAGAGACCCACAGATGGCTCCGAGAGGCCTCTTGTCCACCACGCTGGCACGGTGTCGGGAGTGGGAGTGGGGCCGGGGGGGCAAAGGCCACCAGATAGCATGCCCACGCCGTCGCCCGCGGAGACCCCGGTCCACAGCTTCTGGCCGAACTCGGCGTCGCCAGCGAAGCCCGCGCTGGCCGTGCGCCAAGCGCTCGGCAGCATGGCCTCGAGGATCCGGCCCAGCGAGCGGCACGGGCTGGGGCCGCCCAGCGGCCCCGCGAGGCCGAGCGGCAGGGCGACCGCCGCGGCAACGAGCGCGCCCGCCAGCGCGGAGCCGTGGCCGGAGTCGTCCTTAAAGAGCGCGGGGTACACGCGCCGATCCGCGTGCGGGTCGCGCGCGACGCCCAGAAAGGCGAGCCCCGCGCGCACGCAGCACACCGTCTGCAGCCCGCCCTCCCGCAGCGCGCCTTGGTACTCCGCGAGGCTCTCCGCCATGAGCGCCGCCTCGCTGGGGCCAGGATAGGGCTCGCTCCAGGTCTGGTAGAGCACGACCTGGCTCCTGGGGTGCGTGTCCAAGATCAGCGGGGCGTATCGGCAGCGGAGCACCTCCGCCTCTGCGAACCGGCTCTCCGAATCGGCGCCGCGGCCGACCTTGGAGGAGAAGCTATACAAAACGCCGCGTAAGCACAAATTTTCCGAGCTGCGCGCGGATATTCTTGGATCGCCGCGAACCCCACTCCCCAGCGGGCGGAGCGCGCCGCCAGGCGTTCCAGCGCCGATCCAAGAAGATCCAGACGACGCTTCTGCCTTGTTTTCTTCTTCGACGACCTGCAGCACCACCGCGTCCCACGGGTCCTCGCCCGAGGCGGCCGTGCGCCGCATGAGCTCCTCTGCCTGTGGCAACAGGTCCAGCAGGTCGGCGCCGCCCTGCACCACGGCCTCTGTGCGCAGCTGCACGCCAGCTGCTGCGGCCGCGACGCGGGAGAGCGCCCCGGCAATCCCGCCAAGCCTTAGCTGCCCAGATACGCCACACGCAACCCGTGGCGTGTTGACACGCAGCTCATCACCTAGATCGACAAGTCTGGCGCGATACAGTCGTCGGCACAACGAGGGCCAACACGTTTTGAATCAACAGGCAGCGTGCTCCATCTGAACGTTTCAACACGGTACGGGTTGCGTTCCAACAAGGGCGAATCAGGGCAGCTAGGCACCAAGCTCTTTCGGCTGGTAGGTGTGCGAGTTCCCCACGAAGAGCACGCTGGTGGGCAGCCTGATCGGCGGAGCCTCCTTGGCGCCCCTGGGCGAGGCCCTCGAGGCTGCCGCCGCCGTCCTGGGCGCGCCCTCTGCCGCGCCCGCCTGCACCGCCGCGACGTCGTGCGCGCCAGCGCGCCTCCAGCGCCGCCCGGGCCTCCCGGCTGTGCCCGCACCGATGGGCGCTCCATCTGGCAGGGCGCCCAGGCCCTGCTGCGCGGTGGCCGCTGCCATTGGGGACGGCGCTGCTGCTACTGGGCCGAACGCCTGGCCACGCCGGCGGGGGCGCACTCCATCCCGCGCGGTGCGGCTGGAGTACACGCTGGACGGAAGAAGCGGGAGACACGCCAAGTAGGGCGGCTTCAAAAGCAGATGTGATGTCGCCCGCGCCCCCCCCCCTGCCCCCCCGCACCCACCCACTCCAGTGAAGAAAGGGCGACGGAAGGCACACCAATTCTTGACGCAGGAGGGTGCTGGAAATAGGTTAGCATCTGAAGTTCAAGAAGTAAGATGTTTCAGCGACCGACGAGACATGGACGGGATTGGTCGAAGGCCACTGGATTCCTGGCAACGCCCTGCCCTTTGCCCCCTGTCGCGATTCCGCCTCTTGCGCCCAAGCTGCTCTCTTCTCAGGGTCGGCAGAGCCCGCCGTACAGTATCTTTGCTGCAAGGAGAGCGAAACGTGCTGAGCGTTTGAATGTGTCTCCAAGAGCGCGCCACTAGCCGTAAGGCCTTTGCAGTGTTTGCCGACGCCCGAGGGCCCTCGCGGGGATGCTGCCAGCTCCATCCGCCTAGGTCACCTGGATTCGCGCATCGCGCCCCGCGATGCGCGATTATCTTCGCGCTCTCCCGCCCTCGCGCCGCTCCCTTGGAGAAGGGCAGCCGCTCTGGCTCAGACCTGCTCCCGGGGGAGACGGGCCCTGGACTTCGGGGCTCTCCTCTTGACCGGCTCGTCGTCCCGAGCCGCTTCTTGGCGGCCCGCCCGCGAGGTTCCCCGGATGGCCCTCACGGGCCAAGATGGCCCCCTGAGACGGGCCGAGATGGTCGAAAGACGGCCCCAGCTGGCTGCAAAGTTAGACACGGACGCCCACAGGTGTACAACTTCGCTGGCTCTCAGTGGTGATCTATACACCGCCACCGCCCGCTGAGGCCCAGGAACATTCCACTTGGGACTCGAGGGTGTCTTTTTACGGCGGGGCTCCCTCGTGGCACGACGCCTGGGGTCGACGGTCCACTGTGACTTCCCCGCCCGCAGGCGACGACGCCGCCGCCGCCCACCGCCGTCATGAACGCGTGGGGCTCCCGGGGACAGCGCAGGCACAGCTTGGGCCAGAGGCGAGGCACCTTCAGCAACACCCAGATCGTCGTCGAGGCGCGTTGTCCTCTTCGTCTTCGACCCAGGCCTCGGGCGCTTCGAAGCTTTAGATGCGTGGGCCCCTGGACCTCTCAACCCCTTCCCCGAGGTGATGCGTTTTAATCCCGAGCCGTTTGGGCCCCGATGGAAACCCGAAACGGGCCTCCAGAAGTCAAGAGTGGCGACAGACCAGCCGCTTCGATTTCCTCGAGGCGCCGCACGTCTGGGGCAGCATGATGGCGAGGAACTGGCCACTGGGGGTCGATGCTTGCCCCCCTGGCTGGCATGAAAGAAACGGGTCCTGAGGGAAGCGGATCCTGGACCCCAAAGCCTACCCCCTGGACCAGCTCTTCACCCGGAGCAGTTTTGCTGACAATCCCGGGCCCCCCGGCAGGGCCCCAGGAGCCCGAAAACGAAGATCTCAGGAATCCCCTTCCCCTCGGGACTGCCTCGGGGGCTCCCTCGCGTGCGATCGGCTCCG